CAGTCTGGATGAACTTCGACGCACTTTCTGCTCACATGGCTAACTGCACTGGAAGACAGGTTACAGAAAGTTGTCCAGTATGTAGAGGTTTGTGTCAAATAATTTGTGAAAAAAAACTCGGATAAAAGACTGATTCTTTCAGAAAGAGCGCGTGCAGACGATATTGAAAATGAGGATGAGGATCTATTTGATTTAGAAGCTCAGTACGATACATATGGAGTCACTCTGAGTTGCTTCGTCCTATGTCTCAGGATCGTTAACATCGAGCGGTATTTCTCTTGATTTGTCCCAACGAACGGTGCTTAGCTGAACTCCTGGGATCAACTAGGACCATGAGAGTGAAGAACAGTATTCCGAAGCGAACTGGCAGTCTGTTAGTGGTGTTTGTGACGTATGTTGCTTTATTTTCAATAAGCTGTCAATAAACTTTTGATTTTCTAATGCCAAACTTTGACAGTGAATGACTACAGCTTTCCAAAATGGTATAAATGGGTCAGACAAGCATGTTGTGAGAATCAATGAGTTTCCAAGGTTCTTCATAAGATGAACTTGTGTAGGTGTGCGGTTAGTATCGATACCAACTGTTGTAATCACAACAAAGAAGTAAAATAATTAGTCATATGAGGTCAAGGGTACGGAGAGAAATGTATGTAAACATTTCCTTCATTCAAGTGAATGCGGTCATATATCACACGCTCACGTGAAGTGATAATTAGGGGTACAACAGAACTGCTGTTCACACACCTGCCGAATCAATGAGAAACTACGGGAAAGTCAACAGCTCAAAAAAGATGCGATACGCGTCACCACCTCTGCCTCCCCGTTCTACATCAAATATCGATCGTATGTACTTCCCTCTTTTTCAAGATTCTGACGAACCCACTGTAGTAGGTCTCACTACATCTCAGTAAAATGGATATACAGTGCAGTGTGCATCGCACCAGAGTTGCACACCGCCTGTTAGATTAGCTATTCAGTAAACATGAGGCTTTTGTTTGCTGTTGTCGTCCAACGGACTGTAACCAGTAAAACATCTAAGCTAGAAAGGAAAGGCAATTCATGGACCTATTCTTAAGATATGCGCTAACAATTTACTTGTTTGGCAGATGTGCCAACGTAGTACGCCTCGGTGATTTACCACCATTATATCCCAGAAAGGGGTGGTGTACAGAGTCTGATATGATTTACTGGTTTCCGCACTTCTGGAATTACTGAATCGTAGCATCTACGATAGTCGCCATGCCTAACCGAAATGCTACTTTGAAGAAGGGCTGATAACCTCATCTGTCTATGGGTGTGTTCCACCGGCACGTCATCAAGGCGGTAGAGTCTTGACTGAGTGTTCGTTGTAGCTACACCTGCAGGATAACTCTGAACTTACAGACCGTAAAAGTATACAGTAGCCTGAACCACTGAAATATGATCATGTTGCCTATAGTTTAAAACACACGTAAAATCTAACACGGGTTTGAGTTTTTTCACATTGTTATCTTGAAGATCAGCCTGTCTTCTTGGTGCGACCATTCTAGGTTATCCATCAAAAAAGATCAGTACGCTTGAGCTTTGTCGTATAGAATTGAATCAGTTAGGCTGCAGAGCGACTTAAACCCCGGTCATTTGACAAGCTGGGTAAGCATGTTATCACTATTGCACCGGTGCGCGTTGAACACAGCAGAATGTCGACGTCCGAACGGGGGAACATGCCTGCTTTTGAACGATTTGTGCGGTGCGAATCTTTTTGGATGGCGGATATGCGATCATGTAGCCTTTGCTCATGCTTGACCTAATGCTAACACCCAAGCTCAACGGTTAGGCTAAAGGAAACTAATCAACGCTTACCATCCATTCACCGTTTTGGTAGTGAATCCGAATGCCCATTGCTTAAATACACCTATTTCAAAGACCAGTTTGAGTTATTCGGATTCATTCAGCCCCCCATGTTTGGAATTCAGTCTTCATGTGCACTTGTTATTCAGCCAGAAATTTTTGTGTAACAAATCGTCAAACCTGCTTTGGTGCACGTCACATGCTCAAAGAGTTCATACTTTTGGTGATGGGATTTAGTCTGCACAATTTAAAAAACCTCGACCAGTATGCTGAACATTAGTGACTGATCACCTAAGGCCGTCTAAAATTCGAGGTGCGTAGCCACTAGAGAACTTATGATGCGCGAGCTGCCCTCAAAATACACATACAAATGTAGGCATGAACAATGAAAAAATTTCTTTTCACTTTGAACCCAACTCAATTCGAAGGCTCCAAGGATAGATCCCACTTTTGGAGCTACTCATGTCATCAATCGAAAGTTGATGTTCATTGTAGGCTTGAAGATTCAAGGAGGAACTTTCTCTAGATTGTAAGATCCCTTGCCAAGAAGTTCATCAGAATCCCAAAACTGAGATGGACCGTTCTTTCCACGATCGGATCATCTGAGTAGGTCTACTTTGCGATCAACGCTGTGGAACTGTTCAAGCAGGGCATCTGTGGAGTTTCATTGTCCAGGTCGATTGAAGTTGCAATCGACAGTCATAAACACTGTGTTCTGACCAACGAAATGACTGCCTGGCTGTTCGTGGACCAAGCACACCGGATTGGTACCAACCGACGAGATAAGAATCAGATCATTAATCGATTTCAGCTACTCATTTCCGGACCCCTCACAGGTTCATCTACCAACCTAAACCCAAAAAGAGCATTCAGGAAACCCTGGGACCTTCTCAAGCTGCACATTTTGATTGAGAACATGGAAAGTTTAAAAAAACGGCCATATCAGAATTCAGAGCCACAATTATTCTACGCCTTCCATGGAACATTTCTGGCGTTTCAAACCGCCTACGTTTATTTCTTGGTTCCGTTTTAATAAGTTGCCAAAAGCAGGCATGACAAGTAAGCCAAATGTTTGGGTTCTGAATACATTCTAGCACAAAGTTACTAATGATACTTTTATGTTTGTTCTGTTCGGGATGTCGTCGTCCGAGGTCAAAATTAAGTCCAGCGTACAGACAACTGTACCCAAGTTCGAAACAGTGGCCTAATTCAAACATCTTTACATAAGCCTTTCTTGCACTTACTTTTCCATGGTTTGTGAGCGCATTGCGTTTAGCAGATTGCCACTATCTACCTGCTTTTAACTCTGCTACTCTACTAAAGTCCTCCAATACTGCACTTACATGTTCACCACTCCGCTCTTGAACAGATAAGAAGACTGAAGGAACACACCAAAGACAGCTGAAGACACAGTGGTCAAACATCTACATAAGAGAGAGACCAGCATTCACATTGGGTGCATATTGATAAGATCCTTGGTAGAAAATAGTTCCTTGAAGTACGCTTAAAGTTGGAGCAGCTTTGTGTTGAACAATCGAAGTTTCTTCCGGGACCTAGCTAACGGTTGCTCAATCGCAAAGTTTTAGGTTTGACAAACTTTTTGTCTACATTTATTCTCACTAATGTAGCATGGTGTATAGCCTAACAACGGGATAAGTGCTTCAGAATGTGTAAATCGTCTCGATCACCTCTCCTCCTTTCTATTTGAAAAGCATGTTATTATTCTCAGTAGGCCATTTTCTGTTCTTTTCGGAAAACACTCTTTTGCACGCTAATTCGATTTTACCGGGGGATTCAAATGAATCCACTAGGATCTCTCGTTTGTGGGGTTCTTCTTTGATTGGGTTCGCTGCATAACATCTCATGTTTCAGTTGTCACAATGGTCGAGATATTGCAGTTTGTCTTCCTGATGGAACGTACGACTCATGCGGCTGAAGAGTTTTTGGCAACCTCATGAGTAGTATGTTCTACCAATTTTTGCTCCGTTCAATTTCCTCCCTCCGGTTGAACATGAACATATTGTTGTAACGTAAGACAATGCATCGTAAGGCAACTGCTCCCCCATTCTTGTGAATTTCTTCTAAACGACGTACCTGGAGCGAGTGAATTCCAAAGCTTTTTTAGTTCAGGACTAGCATAGTAGCTATCCATGCACATGCTGCTGCGTACCGAATTTAGAACGTGATGTGAACGCTGGGTTTAAAGGCTATAGCCATTCTGCATAGATGCTTCTGGTAGCTTCAAGAGAGGACTGCTACTTGAGTTGGTGGTGAACAGCATCTGCGACCAATTCGGCAACCACGTACAGTTCACAATCTTGGTTGGAAAACTTTTTATCCATTGCCGAACAGCAGTAATATTCTCCAGCATGCCTTTACCACTGTTCTCATCTCACTTAAGGATTATGCCCATCACTAATTCCATAACCCAGTGTGAGTACGTTTGCGACTTCTTAACTGACTGTGGCTGCCACAAACATAGAAGACACACGACCTCTAAGACTGTGCTAGATCAAACTATTAGCTGGCCAGGTCGTCAATGTCTCAAAATACCAAAGCTTTTTAGTTTTCCCACTCTTGAACAAGCTGAAAATGGCTTATTGAATTGCTCCCATACTTCCAACCATGCCAAACGTCCCTTTTTCCTCCACTCCCCGCTAATACGACCTAATTTGGGCTTCCAATATCTGAACCATATTTGACAGAATTTGGCACTTAAGAGGTGCTATTTTCGTAGGCTTGTTATTTTTGGTGCACTCCCTATTGAAATAATCGTTCCACTATATATTCAGGTACATGAAGGATTTCGCTGGAGGCAGTATAATACCCCCACCCCAGCGGACTTAGCAGAAGACAAACATTTCAAGGCTTGTATCGAGTTCGGCCAAAGTAGTCTTTCTCACATAATCATATCTCACCACCAATCACTCAACGACGCTGCGTATATCTCATGCACTCATCCCATGTACAACCTAGTACAGAACTGATGTTCTCCTTGCTGTGATTAAATGTCCCCTCTTACGCGCCTCTTCGAGTTGATCTGACTTTACTACGTCAAATGTGTATCTCTTCTGCTTGCCTTCAGCCTAGGTCATTAAAACCTGATCCGGAATTTTTGTAACAGTGTGATCTGTATACCAGTATTCCACCATTTTACACGATGTCATGGTACACTATTCGGATTCTTCACCTTCACTTGGCCTGGGTTCAAGGTTTACGAAAGGCTGAAGTCTTCCCATCTTGTCCTGATTACCGCTTTGAGCCAGACAGGTGAATAGAGCAAAGGCAATAAGGATCTGGTCATTACGCGCATCTTCAACTCTTGGATTAAGCCGAGGGTCATGATTCGCGAACTGCTCCTCCTTTCGAGTGTTCTTTTGTATTTCAAGGAAAGGGACATTCTTTCCAAACCGCCGCTTGGACATTTAAGCGAAGCAAACTAAATAAAGTCCCTTTTTCATAGAGGGAACTACTCACAAGATTGCTGAAAACTCTTCGACAGCCCATGACCGGTTTCGCCCTTCTTGGGGCTCATCAGGTAGACGCAGTCCCCGAGTTTCCGTCAACCTTATGATCTACTTGAACCTAACT